TAAACTTAGACCAGCTGGTGGGTGTGTAAAGGCACTTTTTATTTGTATTTCTCTAATTATCAACGAAACTAAATATTATTTCCTGTATTTAAGGACCTTTTGCATTTTCTTTTATAACTTCCATCCCCTTTTCTCTTGGATTGTCTTATAAATTTGTAAGAGATATATTCTAGATCTTATATTTTATTGGTTATATATTTCCTAATTTATGTTTTATTTTATTTTCTGTATGATGTCTTTTAAAGAACAGAACTTCTTTATTTTAATGGCAGAGTGAATTTATTTTTCTTCTTTGTATTGTTAACTTATTCTGAGGCCATAAAGTATAGTTTTATTGTCTACTAAAGGTTTTATAATCTTGGAGTTGATTTATATAGAGAGTGGAGTATGGATTAAATTTCATCCTCCTTCCCCCATTTATTTAAGTATTCAGGTATTTATTTTTATGAGTATGGACTCATGGATATTTGCTTTACTCTATTATAATCTATTAATGTAATTTTTTATTTCTCAAATTGTCGTAGATTTGACCCCTTAGGTTGAGACTAATGTCCTCTCAATAAGTCCCCATCTTTTTTGAGCCCTTTCTTATTTTCTTGTACCATAAGCTGTTCCAGGTTCATCTGATCCTTTCCCTACTCCAGCTTTGCAACTAGAAATTTCTCTAAGTACATCTCTCCTTTTTTAATTATCGGAAAGCAGTGTTTAGAAACAAACACCTGGGTGTCAGGTGTGCTCCTTGCTGTGGGGCATCATTATCCTAGGTTCTCTCAGAGGAAAAACTGGGAGATTATTATATATGTGTACAATTTATAGTTTATTGTATATGCACAGTATATAATAATATTATTAGATACATACATACGCACACGTACATGTATCTATCTATATTTATCTATCTGTCATCTACGGAAATATATATTAAAAACCATGATATCTGCGATTCAAGTCCAATATCATAGAGTTGATTCTGGCTCTGTCCCTTTATTTGTTTTGTCTCTAGCTTCAGAATACAGTCAAGATACTGGGTAGGCTACTTTTTTTTTTGCTGTGCTCCCCTACGTGTGGTGATGTTGTGCGTGGGTAATGCAGTTTCTGATTGTGTTTCATTTTGAGTTAACCCTAAATGTGGGTTGATTTTAATTATTTACTTTTTAAATTTTGTGAAACATTCACATGGCTATAAATGTCAAAACTACATAAAAAGATGTAGTAGGAGAACACCCACTTCCCCTCTATTCCTGTGTTCCACTCTCATTCCTCTGATCCCGGCCCCCGTGGCTCCCTACTGCCTATGAAGTAGAATTCAAACGCAGTGCAATTGTCAAGTCCCGCCATCACCTCCGTTTTAGCTCATTCTCGTACACCATGCTCAGGCTGCCTCGGATTTTTTGTTATTCTTCAGCCTTGACTGGCTTATTCATGCCTCCAAGCCTTCGGACATTCTCTCTCTCTGCTTGGAATGATGGTCTATTCCCTCTTACCCTGCTCATCTTTAATTTTTCAAAACCCATTTTAACTCATACCTACTATGTGAAGATTTCCTTTCCTTGCCCTCCTCTCCTTACTTCACTTCTCCTACATTTGTTAGTAACAGTTCTTCCCATAGCACTTGTAGTACTGTGTGACTTTTATGACAGTTTAAATTATTGATGCATACGTGTGTCTTGGCATCCAGTTCAGTTTCTCACACGTAATCAGTTGTGTGGGAAATGCTGTGTAGGGAATGGGTTTCAGTTCTTTTCACTTATTTATTCTTTATGCCTTTGCTCTTTATTTCACTCATGCTATAGCTTATACTCGTATGTGAATCCATATAATGTGATGCCCGTGGATCTTGCTGTCCTTGGAATTTTTATATTCTCTGCCACTCCTAATATATTTGGGCATAACCCTGGTAATGTAATGGCTTCTTATGACCCCTGGAAAGTTACAATATTCAATTAAATTTTAGACCCAGTGTACAGGGACACGATGACATCAAGGCATAGAAATGGCTTAAAACATGCAGGCCTGGAAAGTCCAGGACCGTTTGATCTTGCAGGGTTTCCTCCTCACTCAAAGAGCTGAGATTTTCTGCCCACTTAATCTTTCAGATTGGAAGAAATTGTCCTGGAAATAAAACCCTTTAACAGTCTTTTAAGAACCCTAGTCAGCTTTTAAGATGTCATTATTTTTGTCCACAATGCAAGTTCACCGACCTTCCAAATTGTGTTTCTAAGCTGTTTATGTTACTTTCTCATCTGTATAGATTATTCAGCAGATTATGTTAACATGTAGGGACTCATTTCCTCCAGTCTCTTAATCCTCCATCTGTTACTCTCCCTCACTCCCTGGGTGCTGCATTCTCCTCCTGACACTCCCGTGTGTCCCTCCGATCACAGCCCATTCTCTGCAGTCCTACCTGGGATTCAGAACAGAGGGTTGGTTGCCGTGCAGACATCACATTCAATAAGGGGAGGCTTCACGATCACACCTTGTGAGGACACATGGCTCGCTGGTGCAGCAGAGTGTCCGATGTCCAGGGAGAGTGAGCTGTGAGAAAGCGTCCACTTACAGAACTGACCTTTATCCTTTATTTATTAAAAAAAATAAAATATTTTACTTTTTAATGCCAGTGTAACACATACAAAGACAAGTGAGTCCTAAGTGAACACTTTGATAAATTTTCCCACATTGAACATAATCATGAAACCACCACTCACATCAGGGACTCCAGCATCACTGGCCCACGAGATTATCCCTTGTCCCCTCTCCTGGTCTCTGCTGTTCCCCACACTCAAAGGTAACTACGGTGCTGACTTAGATAATTTTACCTATTTTTGAGCTTTATAAAATGGCATCATGCAATATATTTTCAACATTATGTTTCTGAGATTCATTTGTATTGTTGCATTGAGTATAGTTCATATATATTCATTACTCTGTAACAATGAAACTATGGCTTGTGCTGGCTGTCTATTTCTGTAAATAAGGTTTTATTGGGACACAGTCACACCCATTCATTTACATATTGTCTGTGGCTGTTTTCACACTCCAAAGGCAGAGGTGAATAGTTGTGCAACAGGGCAGAGAGACTTTATGGCCAAAAATATTTACTGTCTGGTCCTTTGCAGAAAAAAGCTGACTGACCCCCGGTATATAGCATTCAGTTATATGAATATTCTACAATTTATTTGTTACTGAGTTTTTTACTTCTTTGGATATTCCTGTATGTGTGTTTGGGACTGATGCCTCTGGAGGTGCGTGCTGGTAGGCGTTTCCCTGGGAGTGGCATAGCTGGGCCACAGTGTGTATTTGCGCTCTGCGTCAGTGGACGCTGCTGCACAGTTCTCCAGGTCACACTCCCACCAGCAACGAATGAGAGCTGAATCGCTGCAGATCCTAGTACTTTGTGTCCTCAGATTTTCATGTTTAGTCATTTTGATCAGTATGTAATTTGATGTCACTGTGGTTTTAATGTGTATTTCCTCGATGCTGGATGAAGTTGAGCACCTTTTCGTACGCTTACTGACACTTTGGGTATCCTGTTTGGGTGGCCTGTCCTTTTCTTATTGCTTTATGTGAATTCTTTATGTATTCTGAGTCCCTTGGAGGATATATGTATGGAAAATATCGTTATTCTGACTTGCATCTTTATTTTTTAAGGTGTTTTTATTTTTTTATTTTTCTGAACCGGAAGGGGATCAGGAAATTGAGAAATGGGCTTCCCTCTGTGTGCCTGAAAGCAGGGCATACATTTTCATTTTCAAAGGTGCACACATCTTCCAGACCAAAAGAAGAGAATGATTTCTAGCACCAGAAAGTGAGTCTGCATAACAAGTCTTACTCACCAGTTGGTATCTGCCGTACATTTCCTACTCATCATACCACAATTTATCATCCTTAGGAATCCATGCCTTTTCCTTTGCCTAGTCACTTCTCTAAAATTAATTGCCCTTTGTTAAAATGGCATATAAGTCCTTGGGTCTAACTGCCTCCTTGAGTTTTTACTTCCTTTCTGGGATATCCTTACGCATGTAAAAATATTCACATCAATAAAGAAATAATGCCTTTCCTCCTATTAATTTCTTTGTCAGCTTCACTTGCATGCCCCCAGGAACTGACCCTGAGAAGGTAGAGGAAGTTTTCTTCCTCCCCTACAAACTGTAACTGAAGCCAGCAACACGGCTGAATCGCTCGTACACTGAGGGCAGTGAAACTAGACGTGGTGTTTGTAGATGCGTGGGCAGTAGCTGTCCCCAGCCTTGTCAGGGCACACTCTCCCCGGGAAACACCACGGCATCAATAGATTTTTATATATGTAAGTCCTGCTTAACTAAGAGTGTGATTTGCTGGATTGTTATTTGTCCTCTCCTCTGGGTAGAAACAAAGTTTTTATCTTCCATTTTTTAATATTAAAAACTGCTCTAGGCTCTCAGAGTCCCCATTTCTAAGGGTGTGTTTCCTGAGCATTCTATATCCATGCTGAATATTCAAAGATTTTATGAAGATGCGGTATCAAATATTTGAGTCAGAAATGTGTACTTTTTGAGAACTGTTATTTCCTCAGATGTCTGAGATTAGACATTTAGAAACTGAAGCTCATTTATCTAATTTTAGGTTGTATCAAATTGAATATAGTAGATACGTGTTGTAGGGTTAGAGTACATGATTTTTTAGATCAATTTAATAATTCTGTTTTTGTTTCAATTTTATAAATAGCTTTCCAGAACAGTATTACTTGATTAAAATATATTTTGTTTCTTTTGTTTTTTGGTGTTCAGATCTACAATAGACACAGATGATTTGAACTTGAAAATATTTAGAGATACTCTAATACTACAGATACTTTTTTCTAATTTCTAATTTAAGTGTAGCTGCTTGCTTTTAAAAGGCTGGTTTGCCTTTTAAAAAGATGAAACTTTTGTTATGTAACTTTTATTTTAGTGAAATTTCTTGTGTACTAACTTTCTCTATTTTAAACTATTTTTAACTTGTTACTTCTGTTTTTTTCTCAGGTTGTGCATTATTACTGGGGATGCTAATTGTCAAAATTTCTGTAGCCATGGCACAAGACTATAGTAAGTACTGTACCATACTTCCTATGACCTACCTTCTTTAAAATGTGCTTTGTCTTTAAATTTCTCATTGGAGCAGTGGAAATTTAGAATCAAAGTTTTCAAAATCTACTTTTCTCAAAGGGGTCAATTTATTTGGTCATCTGCGTCTGGAATCTTTAGCCAAATGTACATGTACATTGTGATAGTGATAAACAGTCTTGCTCAGGCTGCTCCGTGCACCCGTGTGCTAGTGGAATGGGCATTAGGGTTGGAGCCATGTCGTGTGTCCAGTCGATCCCCCATGTTACGGAGCTGCAGAGCTGACTGAAGCTCCAGGCTGGGCCCTGTGGTCAGAGCCAGTCCTGCCCCACAATCCTGTCGACTCATCGAGGACAAAATATCAGCGAGTGTAGGGCGCTAGCCAGAGGGGTGGTTTCAGGAGTGCTCCAGTCATTTTGTTCTAGGCTATGAGACTCCAAGGTAGGTTTGCCAGGAGTTTCTGGCAGAAGTCTTCTAATTAACAGAGCTACAGAGAGGGCCTGCCTCTCTCTTCTTCGGGATGTGGTTCTGTGCCAGTGTGAGGTCTGGTGTCTGTGCAGTCTGAGCAAGAAGCCACACAAAGTGGAGGGCAGGGAAGCCAGCCCTGGGGCCTGTCTCTCCTCCAGAAGTCCAGGCTTTTGAGCCAATACATTTCCTTTTTCATTAAGCCAGTTTGCATGGGGAGCCAAAACATCCCAAGTGATTCACTTAATTTCCATTTTATTTTTAGTAATCCATTAGTTTTCTCCTGGGTAATGTGGGAGTAATTGCAAAGTGAGGCAAAATAGTACCGCTGAATTAAACTGGCAGGGCTGTTGCTCTTGACTGGCATGCTCTTCACAGCTGACGGTTAACAGGTAGTGATTTCGTGGTCAAAGACAGGAGAATAGGATGTATCGCTTTTAGATGCTCCCCCTCCCCTGGAAGGTTTTTCCTTTTAGTCAGCCCACGTGGGCTGTGAATGCTGAACAGGGTTTTGGACTGTGCCTGAAAAATCATTCCCTTGCATAGGTGTGTATTTGGCAGTGTGGACCTGTTCCTAGAAGAGTCTATACCCAAACTTCTAATTCCTTGTTTGCTTTTCAAAAACGAGTGTGAATATTGCAAATATAGAAACTACATAGAGACTAGTGTAACAAGTATCCATATGTGCCCTCCCACGAACACTGGAGAAGTCAACTGTTTACCAATGCCCTGGAACAATCAAAAACCCAGGGGATGGACCCCTCCCTAACTGCCATGCCATTTTTCTGCCTCTGAGGTACCACTGTCCTGGTTTTGGTCTTTCTTCTCCTCATGCTTTTGTTTGTCCTTTTACCACACATGATTTTTGCATGTTTTTAACTTCAGGCAGTGTAGATATACACTATGTGATTGGTTGTTCAAAATCTCAGTTGAGAATGAGTTCAGGATCACAGAAAGAGGCTATAAATTTATTCTCAGATACTTGTCCAGAGACTGATTACTAGGCACCTTAGTGATCTGCACTGAAACATGTTAGATTTTAAGTGTTTGATGAGTTTAATCAACATACTGACAGCCGTTTATCTTATCTTGCGGAATCCGGTGCCTGGTCAGCTTCTGAGTTTCCTTTCCGTCCTGGATTCCACACTCCTGTGCAGGTTCAGCACCTACTGGACATTCTCAGACCATCAGTGTGTCATCAGTGAGCTTTCCAGAATGTGGTGGTTGCTTTTTTGCTTTAAATGCTTTGTTCCTACTGTGGTCAGTATGCTTGCCTTTGGCAGACTTAGGTAAATCTATGCATCTTTCTGCACTCTGACAATTAGTTTTGACAGCTACCGAATTTACTTCTGTGCTTTCCAAATTTGCCAGTGTGTTCCCTGTGCTGGCAGCGGCAGTTATAAAAGAGGCATCTAGTCCTATGAATAGACTGAGAAGTATGGAAACATAGTACTGTGGGAGAGGAAAAAATAATTTTACTTCTACCCTTCTAAGCTCTTCTGGCTAGACTAATAATCAAATTCCCAAAGTGAACAGTGTCCAGCCAGTAAAGTGTCCTGGCTGCCTTGCCAAAACTGTGGGTGAGGAAAAATATTATTTCTCCTACCCTTTTAGGTTCTTCTGGCTAGACTAATTAATTAACATGAGACAGATTAACAGGAGAAAATAACCAAATTTATTTCATGTATTTATTCTCACGTGAGGATATGTTTATTGACGAGGGAGAGATACACACACATACCCCAGTGTGATTGATTGCCTCCCACATGTGCCCCAGCTGGGGCTCAAACCCATGACTTAGGTTTGTGCCCTGACCAGGACCTCCCTGTGTATGGGGCGATGCTCCAAGTAACTGAGCCACCCAGCCAGGGTGAAAATGACCGAAGTTACTACATATGTACGTACAGGGGCTCCATACGAACACGAGGCTTGAGGAGGGATCGGGCAGATAAGGCTTGCATGCCATCTGAGGGGTGGGAGGGGAGCTATGGTTTGGGACTTCAGAGGGCAGGAAAGGAATTCACATGGAGATAGAAGAGCAGATATTTCATAAGTAAATGTTTGCTGGACTGTCCTTAATGGGACACAGGACTTGGATCAAAAGGGTTTTGCCGGGTTCCTCCCTATCACATAGTAGTTCGCATCAAACTGTAGTTATCTGCGATGATACTTTCCTTCCTGAAGCAAGTCCTCTCGCTAAATTCTTCAGGCAGTTAGGGGGAAGGTTAAGGGTTCTTTCTCTTTCTGAGTCTTCTGTTTCTTAAAAAATAACCAGTTTTAAATCATCAACATTCCAGAAGGCATGTTTTGGGGTGGCACACTCTGCTTTCCCTCAGTATCTCAGTCACGTGGAAACCTCAGACATCCTTGCTGTATTGTCCTTTCCTCTTGTGCCCAGTGTGAGCCTTGGAGACACTTACGTGTTAGTCATGTCTGAGATGTGTCTGAAGTCGTTTAACTTCTGCATTCGGAAAACTTTTTTTTTCTCTTTTTTTTTTTTTTTTTTTTGCTGTTAGAGAAATCTTTTTATTCCTTGTTCTTGTTTGGAATGTTGTTGTTGGAACTGGAAACTGGATAGTCATTTCCATTCAGAGATCAGTAATTCTTTCATTTGGAGAACATAATTATAGATAAATTGCCAGGGAAAGATTGATGACCATCAAAAGAGGATTTCATTTTTTTTTTCAGAGTGTTATCTTTGCTTAAATGTTTAACATGTGAACAAATAAAGGCAAAAACATTTTACCCCTTGATTCATATATCTTGTATCTATATTACAAGAAGGGAAACAGAAACATCTTTTATTGAAATCAAACTTAGTTTTTTTGTGCATTGTGCATGCTTTTTGTTGTTATTTTTGTTAAAATAATGCCTTCTTTTTAAATTTTACTTAAATGTAACTATTTTTAGGCTTTTTTCCTTTCTGTGTGGACCCAGGATCTTAAATTAAAATGTTGCCAGTGTTAGAAGATTGTAGCTGTCAAGTTGAAACACTTATCTAGTGGGGTTGCTATGCAGGGAGCTACTAAATCTCTCCCATGGGGGTGAGACCAGGATTCAAGGTAGTAAGTCGTTTTGGGCATCAGGCCAAATACAGACACAAGAAATTTAAGATATTTAAGCTATAATCCTGTAATATGTCTTATATATATTTTCTTATTTAAAAAAATCTTTAGTGTTAATGGGGTCCTTTTAAAGGGAAAAGGCCTTTTTAAAAATTTTCTTAAAAAATCAATTCAGTAAACTGATATTTTTTGTTTCTTGTGGAATGACATCCTCATATTGATTTATTTTTTCATATAAAGGGATTTGTAGACTTGACTTGTTTTTACACCTCAAAATGAAATGGTGCCTTTGTGGGGACGGCCCCAGGGCCGAGGGACTTGTAGATGGTGTGACTCAGGCCCTAACTGGGTCCTGCCCTCCGCACTCTTGTGGACTCGAAAGTGCTGGTGATCAACCATTTAGTCTGGGAAAGCGATACATGAGTCATCTGAATTGGCACAAATCATCTAGAATGCTGTGGAAGGTTTTCTACTCTCTGTTCTGATTGAGGGAATTAGGAAGGGAGAGTTGTTCTTTGAGTTTTAAGGTATTCTAGAGGGTAAGTCCATACCTGTGAAAGCAGCTGTCTACCCTAGATGGAATGCAAAGCAGCTCTGATGTAGAAAGCAGTTCCGATTTTGCCAGTCTGTGTCACAGCAGCCCTCGCCACCCTTGGTGGCCTTTTCTTTGTGAAGGAGGGGGGCACTGTTGCCTGTCTTATGGCTGCAACTCAGCCCCGCCCTGCCCCCACCACGTCTCTCAGGAAGGGGCCCTGCGGCTGTCTTGCTGCCTGGAGACACAGCGTAGCCCCCCACAGCACTTTGAGGTAAGAGGACCTTTTAGAAGTTTGTAGTGTCTCTGTTTTGCTTACTCTAAGTCGTCCTACTCATTGTTCTCTCTGCTGTTTAGGACAGACTTTTGATACCTTTTTCCTCCCCTTTCTCAAAACGTTGGAGCAACAGATTTATTGAGCCTATTAGGCACCTGGCAACGAAGTGGGTGGAAGTCATATTTTTTTTTGTCTTCACTATATAACTTAGCTTTGTTTCAGTTTATTTTATAACAGGACTTTAAACCAGTCATATTTATTCTGAAGTGGAGGACACGTATAAGTCATTTAGGAATACAGATAAAATAAGTACTTTTTTCAGATAGAAAGTAACCCTTTTAATTAGTTTTTTCCCCTTTTGCGTTTTCTCTGATGGTGCATTAAGGGGCCTGCCCAGTACTTAACTATCTTACTGTGTCTGCTCCAAAGAGAAAAAGACAAGCAGACTTACCCAGTCCATAGCACAGACACCAGGCTTCAACATGTGATGTGGCTTGACTTTCTAATACATGGATAGATGTTTATTTTCATACAGGAATATGTGTGAGTGCGCTTGCGGAAGGAATGCATCTTCTGACGGGAAGGAGAAGAAAGCTGTAGCTGGCTGTGCAATTTTGTGTTTTTCTGGCCCAGCTACTGTTTT